TTATTTATTTTTTGTAAACGAAACATTGCCAAAGGGTAACAGCAAAGTATATGTTTGTATATAAAGGTACAAACAGGCGACGATTGCGACTCGATTATTTACAATTTGATTTTATTTTTACAGTCATTGACAAACAGACGGAGAGAAATCAGTGGGTGGATTGGTTGGTGGCTCAATGGGTGAGTGGGTGAGCGCCCGAAAGGCATTTCCCGCCTGTGAGAAAAATCAATCAAAATCGATTTAAAAGCACAACTTCCGTTGCGGATTTACCCGCGTGTGTGTGTATATGTGTGAGTGGGTGTGGGGGAGCGTGTGGGTGATTGTGTTTTGGGTGTCCTGTGTGATGGGTGTGTGTGTGTGTGTTTGGTGTTGTGAAAATGTTACCAATTTATTTGTTTTTATGCCCTTGTGTGTGTTTTATTGCCTCTGTCTTTGTTGCTGTCATTGTCGCTTTCTGCCTTCATCCGAGTCCATTTCCGAAAAAAGGGGGGAATCACTTTGCATGCGTTCGTCTTCTGCCTTCACACATATATTTGGTCAATTTTCAATAACGGAATTGAAACACAAACACGCACTCCCCCTCCATGGCACACACCCACATTTACAATTGGATCCTTATTTTTTTTTTTTGGGAAAAAGGATTTGCTTGGGGAATGGAAGGACGAACAATAAAAGAGTGGAAATGGCATAAATACGTAATTCAGGACATTTGAATATTTCATAAGGACATGACCCACATACAAAATAAAACACACAAAAATTATTACAATTCCTTTTGGCCATGAGTGTGTGATTGGGTGTGTGTGTGTGTGTTTGGATTCCTGGATGAAAGAAATTTGCTTTTATTGCTGATAGTTTGCATTGTAATCGAGTGGGGGAAAGGATATAGGATATATGTATGTTGGACAAAGGGAGAGATTGATTTAGGACTGCTGGGATTTTATTTTTCGCAAATTACTAAAAGATGAATGTGGAGAATTTTCAGCAAGTAATAGGACTTGTATTTCTTAAAAATTGAGGGTGAAATCTGACAAATCAAGCAAGATAATTGAAGGGAAATAAATTGAGGGGTTGGTGAGATCTATTCTTTATACATTCTGGTAAGTTTGTTCCCCCCAAACATCTCACAGGATGTCTATAAGTCACACCTTCCTTCACTGATTTCCTCTGACCTTCAATCGAATTGACACCTTACCTTATTTTCCTTGTCCCCTTTCCGTATCTAGCTAGCCATGTAATTGATAGCCATCGCAGTTGGCCAATTATAGTCCTACCCTGTGCCGGCCATCGCCGACCAATTCGTTCGAAAGGAAGAAATGCCCGAATTGTTGACTGACATTTGGCATCACTTGAGTGCGCGACCACCTGACAAATGCCTCGAATATCATTCACGCCAGAAATCAGGAATCATTCACTCATATTCCCGCCACCACTGATTGGCATTGACAGACGACGACTACCACGACGGCGACAGCGGCGCTGGCTCTCTGTCGACGCCAGCTTAGCGTCAGCGTCGCCGGGCAGCACTGCAATTTTGTATCTTGATAAATTACTTATGGCTGGCCCAGACATTGATGAGCACTTCGAGGTGGAACGCAGGTGGCTGGGGGCTGTGGCAGTGGCAGTGGCAGTGGAGGTGACAGGCACGCAGCAAAAATCACGAACTGAGCACCTGAAAACATTTAACCAAAAACATAAGAGGGGGAAATGGCCAAGAAGCCAGAAAATCAGAGAATTTGGTATTAAAAACTAAATTATGAACAATAATGTAAAGAGACATAAAATATAAAGAATTTATACATATATTTAAAATTGATGTGATTATAAGAATTATTATAATTATTATTTTAATAAATCTGTTACTAAATACAATAAATCTTTTATCAAATGTTCCAGGAAGTACTTTTTTGATGATAAGCCCTGAATATTGAAAAAGTATAGTGATCTTATCATTTAGTTCTGATATTTTTAGATCTGATTATACATGAAGAGATAAGATATGAAGCTTAAAAGAAATTCAAAATTTCAATTTTCTAAAGGTTACAATTTATTTTTTTTTTTCATTTTTGGGAACCAATGAAGACTAAGATTTAAGCTAAGGTCTTGGATTTCGATTTAGAACTATAAGGTCAAAAAACTTGATTGTTCCGTAACTGATATAAAATGTCAACAGAAACCCTTTATAATCAAAAGTCTAATCCCTAAACAAAAATCACTTAATTCTTAAGAACAACATCTTTTTAGAAAAAAACCTCCAAAAAACATAATTTGAGTTTAGAGACAGCAATAGTAGCCCCAAGCATGAAAGGGTGCAACGGACAATAAAACAAAATGAATTAGTAATGATATTTGTTTGTTTGCCTTTGTATTGCTCTTTCTTTGCTTCACTTTGCTTCCATGCTCCACAACTTATTTTTGTGGCAAAAGGAGAAAAAAGTTTCCTTCTTTTCGCCATACTTGTAACCGATTGCGTTGCTGCTTCTGATTCTGTTGCCGTTTCTGCTGCCAAAAGAGCCAACAAACAAAGGCGACAACCAAATGGGTTGTTGAGAGCTGGCGGTGACCGGGGGAAATCGATGAGACGACAACTTGTGATGATGACGGTATTCCAACGTACTTGGAGCTACTTTTTGGCGGGGGTGGGGCAAGGAAAGGGGGATGGAGCCAGTGGGTGGGGGTGGTGCTGTCGCCGTCGGCGTCGGTGGGACAGTTAATGGCGACGGCGCACGTCTGGAAGTCCCGACTTTGGCGACAGGGCTGCGATTGGAGGCGATCCATGATGGTAATGTAATGGTGACGGTGTCGTCGACCAGACGAAAATCAGCTGCCAGCAGGGGGGGAAGCGAAAAAAAAGAAAGTCCCTTAGAATGACAGAAGCCCGCCATAAATAAAAAATAAAGCAGGACAGTGGGTGGGATGCCAGCACCTCCATCAATTGGGTAAATCAAAGACATGGCAAAAAAAATAACCCAAAACTAACCAGACAACCAATAACAAATAATGCAAGAGGTTACAATACACCCTTATGAGAAGGGATTAAATCGAAATATATAAACTTTTATAAAAATGGAAAATAAAAAATCGCTCAAACTCATAGGTTAAGGCCTTTCCTATTTTGTTTTTTGGTATTTGTTCATATAATTTTCCACAAGTCTGCACTCTATATTAAATATTCGTGGTCACTCGGTAAACATCCCTTAAACGCAGTATTTTTTTTATGAATTCAATCAAGGACAAAAGGAAAACATAACAGGCTGTCATCATCCCTTTCAATGCCTATGACGGAAGGAAAAATCGAAATTAATTTTGGGTTTGAGGTCCACGGGTTGCAGTCAGAGACAAAATGGTAAATTAAGCGGCCCAGAAGTTCTTGGCAGCGACTTCCGAGGGGCGCTTAAACTGTTTGCTTTCGGCTCATTGATTGTGTTTTTTTTTGGAAATTGTTTGTGACTCTGCCGTTGAGGCTGACGCTGATGCTGATGCACACGCGCCCACAGTAAACACACTTGAAAAGCGATTCAGTCAACACAGTGAGCCTGACAGGCAGCCAGACAGTTGACTCTGTAAAGTCTCGCCAAAAACGCCGAAACGCTGACAAAGACTGCGATTCCACCCAGTTTCCCTTTGCCAATTGTTGGTCTTTGGTAAACACGCAATTTTCTACATTTTTTTTGTTGCGGACCTTGCTGCACGTGCTGAACAATGGAAACAATCAGTCAATAAGTAAAATTAAAATAATAACAAATTTCGGAAAGAAGCACCAGACAAATATAATCAACGCAATAGGGGAAAAATAGATGAAACATTTTTGTGGGTGGCATTGTGTGTGGCGTTGTATGTGGCGTTGTATGTGGCGGAGGTGGCTGGCTATTCAACGATTTCCCGAATTCAATGGAAAACATTTTTCCATTTAACTCATAAAAATTATTTCATTTCCAAATTTGTTTAGAGGCCCCCTCCCGGTCAAAATACGGATTCGATGCGATTCGGATATAAGAATATGGGTATTATTAAGTAATGTTTGTGTGCTACGGGTATCCGATCGATGGATGGAATGTTGCCTCCGCGAGATGTTTGTTTACAAAGCCAGCAACAAGTTGATGGCTATTGAGTGGGAGAGAATAAATATGTTTAATGATTGTTTTTATAATTCTTCTTGGGCGAGAAAAATTCCGCAATTCCCTCAATGGAAAATGCCCAAAAAAAATATACGCCATAAACTCACTTCCTCTATTCGATCGAAAATCAATATGGAAAATGAAACCTATCATATCTGAGGGGGAGGCCTGCCGCACCGCCCCCTATGACTCACTTCATGCAACAAATTGCTCACTTTTCTTGGTGTGTGTATAAAGTTCTTTTCTTTTGTATTCATTGTGTAAATGTTCAAGGAAACCGAAAAAGTCCCAATCGTTCTTTTATCCTTTTCTCTGCCACTTTACCACCCCATCCTCCCACAAAATAAAAAAAATAGAAGAAAAAAAAAGTGTATATAAGAAAGAAGGAGGAAAATGTTTTGCCCACTCTGTTTCTGGCCCTAATCAAGTAACCCGAACACGTTCTTTGTTAGATTTATATGGAAAATATATTTTTATACATGCAACCCAATGAATCCCGCCGACCCAACCCTTGACACCACCCCAGTGCCGCCTGCTGGGCGAAGGCTGGCTACGTGGGGGTGGCTAGACTCTCCCGGCTAGTCAAAAGTGATATTTTACATATTTTCCGACAGTTTTCCTTTTTTTCTTTTCTTTGTCCTTTCTTGGCTGCTCCTTTTTTATCCTTTTTTTCCTTCAGCTTTGCTTGCATTTTATTACTTAACGCTTAAGTGTGCTTCTTAGAGGCAAAAAAAAAAAAGGAGAAATAAAAGGAGTGGGACGGTCGGGCATTTCTCGCTTTTCTAGAGTTTTCTGTTTTAAATTGAAAAGTTGTAAAAAGGATTTCTTGGGCTGCTCCTTTTTCGCCAACCAAGAAGTTGGCAAATTAAACACTTCTTTTCGGGGAAAATGATCAAACGGCAAACTTTTATTCAACAAATATGGTGGGATGAGGGATAACATAGAGTGGAGTGGAAATGCGATGGAACAATGGGTTGTGTTTGCTTAAAAATGAGTATGGGGGATGGGGTTATCACAATTACCAGCTGCCACCTCCCTGGGGAGACCAGCCGCCACTGGAGGATCCTCCCGAGGACCAGCCACCGCTGGAGGATCCACCTGAAGACCAACCACCGCTGGAGGAGCCACCAGCAGACCATCCGCCGCTGGAGGGTCCAGCGGAAGTCCAGCCTCCGGAATCTCCAGCTCCGGAATCCGACTCAGAGATGATTTTGATGATCTTCACAGCCGTGTTGGCATCACCACCGTTACCACCGGAAGACCATCCACCGCTGGAGGCACCACCAGAAGACCAGCCATCGCCGGAGGCTCCACCAGAAGACCAGCCTCCACTGGATGCTCCACCGCCATAGCCTCCATGACCGCCGGAAGAACCTTGCTGCGAGATGATCTTGATGATTTTGACTTCCTGGGCGCCACCGCTTCCATGGCCAGCACCGCCTCCATAGCCTCCGGCACCGCCTCCATAGCCACCAGCACCACCGGCAGACCAGCCACCACCGCCGCCGCCTCCGGACTGCCAACCTCCAGCACCACCAGCAGGAGCAGACTCGTGAATTACTTTGATGATTTTGACGGGTGGGGCAGCACCGCCGCCGCCATGATGATCGGAGCCATGGTCAGAACCACCGCCATAGCTGTAGCCTCCATCGCTGCCATGGGAGGAACCACCGCCGCCGTGGCCGCCGCCTCCACTGTAGCCACCACCTCCACTGTAGCCACCGCCACCGCCACTTCCGAGTCCTCCGATGAATCCAGCTTGGGCCACCGCCACCACAGCCAGTAGACAGACAAAGACTTTCATGTTGGAGCTAAGATGAAGCTGAGATGAGCTAAAAAGTCGAACTGATGCCCCAAACAGATCGAAGGGGCATTTATATAGAGCTGTGTGTTTCCCCAGTCGCGGTGATGATTCGAGGCGGCCTTGTCCGGAAGCCAACGCAAGTGGTGCAAGTGGTGCACTACGACACCCCCGGGCCAAGTTGGCCAAGTTAACACAGGCTCTCAAGAGCCTCTAAGTCGAGCGAAAGCCCCAGTGGGATGTACATGCATAAAATGTCGAAAGACTCTCCCCCAGCATCCATTGAAGGCTATATTTGTTGATCACATCAACTGGGAAATGGCTTTTGCAAGATAGATACGCTTTCATTATAATGTACCCTCTACTTTAACCATAAAATTAAAAATGACTATTATATTATATCACTCTAAAACCCCATAGCTCCTTAAAATATTTAAACCATTTCATCCTTTCGAAAACTCTCTAGTAAGCTTTGTTTAATTTCCTCATAAACGTCTTTTAGAGTATCCCATTATCGACTTCAATTAAAATTTGATATACTTTCTCGTGATTTGTTTGGATTATGCAATCGAATAACCAGCGAACAAACAAATTATCAAACAACCAGCATTTTTTTCGGCGCTTCGAGCGCACTTGAATGGAGTTTTTCCCCCGGATCGCACAGCCATCTGCCTTTTGGCACTCGCTTCCCCTGGCAGTCCCCTGGCATGCCAATCGAAGGCATGATTAATGAGTGCGGAGTTCAGACCACAGGTGAGGTGGTGGGCACAGGTGAGAGGACAGACAGGCAGACGGCAGGCGAGGCGAGGCGAGGTTCGTGCGCTTTCAACTGTCCCTGACATCGATTTCTGGGCTACCGCTTTCCGATGTTACGCATTCAATTCCGATGAAGTCACTTCAAAAGACACTGGAAAAAATAAAAGTAGTGGAGACTATTTATTTAGAAGTCTCTGTGGCAAGCCTCCGAGTTCTCTTCTTCCAAATGACCTGCATTTTTTTTCATAACCTGTCTCCTGTTTAGTTTTTTGTGGCAGTAGGTTCATTCATCTGTTCCATTACCTTTGCATCCATTCATCGATCATCTCAGTCTGGGGGAACACAGTTCTCAATGAGACGTCAAGTTCTCATTAAGACGAGAGCCCCATGCAAATGCCAGATCAATTAATCAATTTGTTTTGCCAATAAATATGACTAAATATGGCCAACGATCTCTGCCAATAATGATAAATGATTTCACCGGCTTTAGAGTTTTGTTTTTGCTTTTGTTTTCTTTTATCTGCTTATGTTTTTTTTGTGCATTTTCTCTCAACCAAATGAATTCAATTAAGCCAAAATTTGAACGTGGGAATATATTTTGGCCACGCATGGCGAATATGTCAGCCAATAACTGGACGCATGCAACATGTTGCCAATGGCTCTAAATATTTTTAGAGCCCGAGGCGGAAAACACAAAACCCGTAAAGGAGACAAATTAATAGTCATTCATTTGGCATTCGGTTATAGCTCTATTGGTCGCCCCAGACAAGTGCAACAAGGCGATATGTTTTTAAGAAAAATAAAATAAATAAAACCACAAACACTGATTTAATTTCATAAATAACTTTTGATGATTTCCATTGGCTAGGACTCCGGAGAAAATTGAATTTGTTCTGTTATTTGATTTGAAAAATAAGGAAAAACTGTCTGGACTTCGAGTTCGAGTTGGTTTCCTTGTGAAAGTTGGCCAAAAAGCTTTTCCTTATGACCACTTTCGGGATCCCTGCGCCCTTCTCTTATGTCACTTTTAGCCAGTCTGACATTTGTTGGAAATATTGTTGAAAATATTTGTTGGTCGAAAAAGCAAAATAAAGTTGCAATTCCTGCAAGAGCTGTCAAAATGTTGCCGCTGCTGCAGTTGCAGTTGCAGTTGCAGCATTGGCTGCGGTTGATATTACTGTTGCCATTGCAATGGAAGTTGCAGTTGCAAGTTGCTTTTGCTTTTCTTGCTGGGCTCGGCAACCTGCTGACTGTTGACTGCTGCCCGTCGTTTTCCCATGTGAATGCTTAACCGATTGCCGGTGCTTACCCTCTCGTCCCCAAACCGAAAAACCCTGCCCCCTTTTACCTCAAGCCTCCCTCATGTGCCCTCGCCCCGCCGCCGGGGGCTGTCAAGTTTTTTTTGGGGCTGTCGCTACTTGGTTGATATTTTTTCCAAAAACAATTTCGACAGTCGCGCATTTTTCACGCTGCCTCATTTGCAGCGATTTTCAATGCGATATTTGTTACCACTGTTGTTGCTGTTGTTGCTGCCACAAATTGTTGTTGTTGTTGCTAGTTGCAGTTGTTGGATTGCTTGTTCACATAACCATAACTCCGCATGGCACCTTTGCAGATTTTTGACTTTTTTTCACCGATACTCTTGGAAAGGGGAAGCCCTTTGGGTCTATTGAAATAATTATTAGTTTAAATGGTATTTTATTCACTAAATATTTTATAAATAATATATTGAAATAAGACTTTTATGTCCTTCAAAGTATCAACTATTATTATGAGCTTTTACTTCCCAAGGACATACCAATCTAAATAATTCATAAAGCCCCTCTCATATTTAAACCTACCCTTTGTACATTTTTTATAGTTGTTCTTTAAGGGTATTTAGCATGTCCTCTAACTTTATTAAAATATTCCCAAATATGATATTTCAGTTGCAATTCCTTCACATATGTATGCTTGGCCCAAGTCAACTTTAATATTCCGTTTGATTTCTTCGCCTTCAGGATCGTGACAGACCGCAGCATTGGATGTTGCAACTGCCAACTGGGAACTAGCAACTAACTTGTGGCAGGCAACTAAAAACAGTTGCGATTAGCTGGGGCCTGGCCCTAAATGAAATCAGCGACTGTTCACAGTCATAAGTTGCTGGCAGAAACCTTTGCTAATATGTCATGGGGCCCATCGACGGGTCAGCCCGAAAACATTGGGCAATTGGCATTTTGTCGGATTTGGTGTGCGGAGAGTGTTGAATGTTGTGCTAGTCATCGAAACCAGTTTACCGTTGGCAAACGTCACAAATAGTACATGCATATGTGTTGTGTGTCCCAACTGGGTAGTACAGTACAGTGGTGACCCATTAAAGCAATCAGCAGCAAACACATGTAAGTCAAGTGGCAAACTCCAACTCCCATTTTCGGTTTCGGTTACGGTTGCGGCTCATTACGCAGCTCGCTTTGATTTGCATAGCAATTGAATGGAGTTGGCCGAAATGGAGTTGGCCCCTTGGCAGTTGACCACCTTGTGCCACACACCCCTTTTCCGTCTTTGATTTGTGCGACATGTGCGCAGAGAATTATTTGCTTATTGTTTAACATTTGCGTTTGAATAACTTGTAAACTGTCAAGCGATTAACCCTTGGAGGTCTACGGGGTTTCAAGAGTGTGGGAAATGGATTTCACTAATTAAAATTTCAATCCAAACAGATCCAAGGTAAAATTGAATCAAAAATCTTGTTCAAATTAAAGTTAAAGAAGCCTCTGTTTAGAATAATATTCTATAAATATTAGCTCATTTTAGGATGCTTTGTAGTGACTTTAACTTGGTTTAAATTTTGGTTTAAACATAAAATAAAAATATAAATATTTCTGAATATTATAAATTTTTTTAGGGGTTATCCAAGGGTTAAAATACATAATTCCAGTTAGACATGTAGTTAACGTTCCGATTTTGCGATTGTCATATTCGGGCGGCATTCCTGCACTGTCAATTCCCAATACTCAATACTCAATAGCCAATAGTCGATTGTGGTGGCCATGCAACTGGCTTATTACCGGCTCTATCAGATGGCGGTACACACGGCGTATGCGCAATATTGATCCCAATGCATTCTCGGCCGCATTGTGTTTGCTTTATTGAATATTTCACTGTTGCTGCTGTTGCTGACCATGTCACATTCGCTTTTCGTCTCAATTGCAGTTGAGAGACAAATTGCGCACCTTTGACAGCTTGGAATTTGACTTTTTGATTGACAACTGCAGCGATCTGCGATCCGAGATTGGTGATCAGGGTTCGACAACAATAATTCCAAGCCGAAATTTCAACAAAATTCAAACGATCGATTTCGCAAAGCCTTAAAGCTTAGTTTATTAAACGTCTTTGGCTGGTTGTACTGACCTCGAAAACAAATTCAATTATGCAGAGAGGGGCACCCAAAAAAAAAAAAGAAAGACAGACAAACAAAAAGAATTGGCCAAATTCGCGAGGCACCTACGCCAACTCCAAAAGCAATTTGGCAGCAATGAAGACAAAGCTGAAAACACGGCAGCCGAAAATAACGACAAATACCAGAGTGTGACGAGACCCCACCGCTTAACCCTCTACCGCCCCGATTAACCCCTCAATGCCAGCGACAAAGTGACAGGCAAGGAAAACGGGGCGAGTCTCTATTTCTCACTCTTCTCTAGAGATCTTCAAACTCTAGCTCCAAACAAAATAAAACAAAAAATAAAAATAGAAATCCAAGTGAAAATCAATTGCAGCTGCCAGAGAAAGACCGAAGCCTCGAGATCTTGGAGAGCTGGCAATTCTTTCAGTTTAGTTTCTTTCAGTTAGCTTGTCAGCGACACAAACAAAAACACAAGACTCTGACTGTGACTGAGACTTGGACATTGAGCCTCAAACTGAATCTGAGACTGAGCCAGCTGACGTTACAGGTTTTCAAATCTGGCACATTAATTTTAAAGACAAATGAAACGAAAATAATACAAGATGAAAGCCTAGCCAAGATAGAAACGAAAAATAGATGCTCTAGAAAAGTGAAATCTAAGAAAAATTAAAAAGACTGAAGTGTGATGGATATTTCTTAGAAAATTGTAACAAATTTTGTTTCTTAAAAAATCAAAAAAGTGAAGACAATTTTGTTTGTATATTTCAAATTTTCAAAGAGTTTTCAGAGTTGCTCAATGGATTAATTTTTGTCCTTTTTTTTTTAGAGACTTTTCAGATAGTAGAGTGGTCCTTTGGATTTATCCTTTTTTGAATTTCTGAGACTGGGAGGCTATAG